GCACTCGAAAATCCAATCAGGCAAGCTGGGTGCTAAGGCTGTCAGCTGAGCAACTACCTCATTGTGAGCTTGGCGAAAATATTCTTGACGCGAATAATGGTGAATAACCTGTTGCCTCAAAAGGCCCAGGTCGTTTTCCAGAGTTTTGGTAGGTTTTGTGGCAACTGCCTTGGCAGATGGAAACGCGACCTCCGAGAACTGCGTCAGCATGTGAAGGTAAAACTGATTACCAGTGTTCATGACCAGTCAGAATACGCTGAAAAAAAAACGGGAGACATAGATTTATTGGATAAAGTGGGTTGTTTTATTTACAATGTCAGCTTTGTGATCAGAAATGTTGGGTTTGAGTTCGTAATTTGCTACAACAATGCCCTGGCGCTGGGCTTCTGAAAAGTCACCACGGAGTCCGATATAATGAATTTTGGTCTGTTCAGCTCCAAAATTTCTGGCTATGTGGATACTTAAGTGATGGACGTTTGCGAACTTCGTAACTTTGCAGGGGTACATAATTTCGCCTTGTACATCTGTGTGAAGTTCAATTTCTTGGTCTGCTTCTCCCTGGATTAACACAAAATTAAATAAGATAAAAGAGGTACTTCAGCGTCGGAGAATGTCATAAAAGGGCGATTTTTATAGAGCCGTATAAGACTCGGATGTGATTCACCATCTTCTCCCGCAACAATTACTCCTTTCAATTTCACTGAACCAGTGAATGGAATATTAAAGAGAAGTTCTGCATCAGCATCACTCTCGACAAAGGGAGAAAGGAGCTTCCTATCCTAAATATTTGCTTGTACCGTATTAAGGTGAACCAACTTCGTAGGGTTTAAACACCAACTTTCCTGAACCCGGTGAACATTCATTTAGACACTGCAGGTTAGGTAAGTCGATGTACTTGAACAGACTGAACGATATAGAAAAATCTTCCGCCTCAATCGAATGTTCGCAATGTCCGTGTGTACACATGCTATATTTTATTCAAAACATTGATACTCACCTTCTGCACAACTTGGCCGATATTCTCAAGATAAATCGCACTAAGCGCGACATAAGCCACTGATTTTAACAAGCGCTTCGTCAGCTTTTACCGTATCTTCTAACATAATGTTATTGGTAATCAATACCCTACTAAACGTCCCAGTACCCTCCTAAAAGAACTCACATGTGATGAAAGGGTAACTTCATTTCCAGAATGCAGCAAAACTCGAGAAGCTTTTAGGATGCTATAATTAGTACAGCAACGACCAGCGAGACTTTAAACGCCGTGGACATTAAAAGGAGACCTCGACAACGGAAAATTCAGATGCATACCTCAGCTGGAAAAATTCAACAACGAATC